CTACCTCGAGCAGGGACATACGGAGGTCTGTATGCCATAAAATTAGTTCTAATTTGGAATACAGCTTGTAGATGTTATACCTTTAATACATTATGAATGTCTATATTTTAGTAAAATTACACTGAATGAAAACGCAAAGAGGTAACCAAACATGTACGTGGATGTATACTGCTGCTGTCCACAAAAACTGGCAGCCTTCTCCAAGGCTTATTATACCTCACAGACATCATCTATGTAAAAAGTCAAGAAAATTTAAAAAAGAACAATAAAGAACCTAACAATAGAAGTCAGCTTGACGACAGTAACATTTTAATTCACTACAATACCTACAATACCAGTCACAAAGCATGAAGATGTCTGAGAGTATTTGGTCTTTTGTTTACAACTGCCATGGCAATTGCATTCATACTGAGCACGGTTTGGGTTAGTTAGCTCCCAACAACAACAGATCCCAATGACAGACAATCTGTGTTCAAGCTGTCGTAAGGATATCTTTGAGCCTGCTCTGATCTAGTTCAGACCAAAAAGGCACTAGACAAAGCAGTATAGGAATTTGAAGAACTGCCTGCAAATTTTTTTTTTTTTTTTTTTTTTTTTAAAAGCCTTGCTCTGATCTGCTGCAAAGCTGACCATAAGACACTTAAGAAGTTGTTTGGTACCTCCAACAGCTTCATCCTGCTTGAAACAGCTGTATGAAAATAAGAGATGCAGAATTGTTTTGGATAGACCTAATATCAAAGTACATAGCTTTTAATCCAGCTATACTTACTCGAGCTGGGGCAGGGAGGGGGGGTGTGCAGAGGGGAGGGAGGGAAATAAGATTCATACCCAGCAATGTTGGCCATGGAGCTAAGTGCATCATATCCCTGAGCAATGGTGACCCGTGGAACCTGATCCATAGCCAAGACAGTAGTTTTTTTTTCCGCAAGTTTTTTCAGGAGGTCTGGATTTTGTGCTGGGTAGATAAAACTAATCAGGGTAGCCGCCATCTTAAAAAGATCTGCCTCGTGTACACCTAGAGCCGAGTTATATATAGGAGCCCTCACCTGATGAAAGAGAGAAGTTTTCAAATTAATCAAAGGAAATAAATCAGAACACACTCCACTTCCTTTCTCCCAGCTTGCAGTCTGTCCATACCCCTTCACAAAGTACACAAGGAAGGAAATATATCAAAGGCTGTTGACACTACTGAACTGAGTAACAGCACTTCTTAATTGCAATCCACATATTAGAATTAGCTCTAGGCGGATTGGTGACAGGGCAGTAATAGTCAGCACATACCTTCAGGAAGATCTGATGGCTTCTAACCAGCAGTTATTGGCTTTTATGACAGACAGATGCACCAAAACCAGCCATTTTTAAGCAAAATTATTACTGAAGAGATGTGCCAATTAAGCTCTACAGGATAAGAATCACTAATGAGATTGCAATGCACTATTACATACAGGGAATTTCAAGCATGAAGTCCAGCAGATACTCATCTAGATCCGCATTCACTTCTTTTGAATTTCTCACTTTTCTTCAAAAAGAAACCTACGTAAAAGGATTGTTCACAAACTAGCTCACAGAAATTCTATGTTCAATCCTGACAGGATAACTTCAAATACAGCAGTTAAAGAAAGCCTCAATATCAAGTTTAAGGCCTTTTTTGTTTTTCCTTCAGGACTCACACAACCTAATACCTCTCAAGCACTTCACTTTTAGCTGTCTTCCCAGATCAGCTACAACTCATCTAGTTACAAGTACTTTTGAAACACACTTCCTGTGGAACTGTTGGTTGTCTGATTGAGAAAAGTTAGCAACTTGTATCTTCAAAATTCCGAGCAACTTTTTCTAAAGAGTAACTTGAGTTGTATGTTACTAATGCTGGAGCGAGAGTTTCTTAGAGCAGGGATCTTATCTGATTAGAGTCTGGAACTAGTCTACCTCGCTCTAGAAAACACAACTCCTCCAAGGTAGTTAAAAACTTGGTAAGATATTATCCTTAATTTTTTCAGTGCTGTCATTTACTACTCTATTACTGTAGGTGTACACCTGAGCTATAAAAAAAAAAAAGAGCAGACAGACTAAAATGGAATCAAAACTTAGAATGGAAAATATTAATTCAAATGAGCTTACTTACTGAACTTTCAGCAGACTTAGAAAAAATGGACCTGTATGTTTCTCCAAAAAGAATGTAATAGGAAATATATTAATAAAGCAATTACTTTGACAATCAAATCAGAAGCCAGAACTTCCTTGGTCCCCTGGATCTTTGCTCCAACTTCTCTGTAATGGTCATCAGAAAATTTGGAAGCTTCTCCAGCACCAGATTCCACCACAACATTGAAGCCTTGTTTAACCAAGGCTTGAACTCCAGCTGGTGATAAAGCCACTCTCTTCTCATTCTCAAAGATCTCCTTGGGGACACCTACAGTCAGCTGTTTATAAGGAATTCCTGTAAGAGTGACAGATAAAACAGCATTAGTTGCACTAAAGATTAATGAATTTATCTTAATGGTATTCTTCAGTGCTGTACAGACACATGCAGACGTGTCACACTTAGCGATTCTGCCCCCTAAGAGATGAGGAAGCGGAATGATATTTTCCTGCAGTGTAGTTACATTTCCTTAAATTACACCATCTTGCTAGAGATCCCTGTTCTCTGAGGAATCAGGCGGTCAGCACAATCAGCCACACAAGCAGTAACAAGTGTTTGGTGCAGTTCATAGCCATCTGAATTTATACAGTTCTGACTGTTTAAATCAGAATGCCAGTTACACAATACATGGTGTTCTGGTGAGAAAACATTCTAGCTGGGGTAAGAAGAATTTAAATCCCTCTCAGTCACTTCAACTTTATTGTGAAGAAATAAACAAATGAGCTTGAACAGCTGAACTGCATTTTAACTGAACATGTTTTTAATGTCTACCAAATTACAGTTGTCTCAGATCACTATTAATGAATGTAACTTACATACCACAAAGTACTTTGAAAGGCACAACTACATCGGTAAGGTACTCTAGGAGTTGCTACAGAAATGAAAAATGTGAATTCAGAAGTAACTGAAGAATAATGGAATATGTGTCTACTAGTTTGTTCAATTAGACTTCTCTTCAATGTTATTTCCTTGTCTTAACTTGTTCGAAGCTCTACTAAATAACATCAGGAAACTGCAGAAGCTGTAATTTATCAGTTTTAGCTTAACGTTTCAAATTACAAACAGCTAACTTTGATCATCTACAATTTGTGGGCTTCCAGTCTAATACCTGAGAGTTAAACTTCTCTGATCCAATCAAGTGTTTAAATACATTATTTATAAATACATAGACTCAAGCAGAATAATCATGTATCAAACTACCACACTGCTTCAATTACACTAGACAGCATGCAGTCCAGCCCACAGGCCCAGTTCTGCACCAGCTTTCTATTTGTGGATTGTCTATCCACAATTTAAACCTGGATCGTGGTATTTATACACGAGACACCTACATCACATATATATTAATGAAATATAATTTGAGCAGCCTAAGCACTCACATTAAAGATCAAGCAACAAAAAAAAAGCCAAACAAAAAAACAAAAAACAAAAAACCCCCACCAAACAAAAAAACAACCAACCCCCACCAAACAAAAAAAACAACCAACCCCCACCAAACAAAAAAAACAACCAACCCCCACCAAACAAAAAAAACAACCAACCCCCACCAAACAAAAAAAACAACACAACACCCACCAAACAAAAAAGAAACCCAACACCCACCAAACAAAAAAAAAAAACACACAACACCCACCAAACAAAAACCCCCAACCAAACAAAAAAAACCCCAACCCAAAAAAAAAAAAAAAACACACAACACCCACCAAACAAAAACCCCACACCAAACAAAAAAAACCCACCCACCAAACAAAACAACCCCACACCAAACCAAAAAAAAAAACCAAACCAAAAAAAACCAAACCCACCAAACCAAAAAAAAAAAGGGGTAGAGGGAGTGAATGGCTTGTTTTAAATTACAAATCTGCTTTTAATTTGGCCATCAATACTATGTATTGTGCTACAAAAATTGTACCAGACTCGTAATGTGTTGCACATTTTAGGAAGGCCTCCTTTTCACTTTTTTTTCCTGTTTGTTTTTTTAAGATAGAAACAAGCAAAACAAAACCAAAAACATACCATACTATAAGAGCTTTGAGGAACTGAATTATTTTGATATTTTTAAATCTAAATCTATCTATGAAATAAAACTGGTACTGTAAGGTGCTTAAAGTTCAACATGTGAAAATGTTTTAGAAACAACTTTCAAAATACTATCAACTCATAATGTTCTGAAAATACAATACAGAGTTGCTAAGAACTGGTACTTAAATATCTACCTGTACTCCTCAGTCTTCTAGCCCATTAAAAAAACTGATTGAACACATCCAACAAAAAGACAGAATGAAAGCTCACCAAAGAAGTGCATTAATTCTAATTATTTTTACTTTGTTTTTAACTTTAGCTTTCTCTTTGAAATTAAACTAATAAAATGGTAACAAATAATTTGAAGACACAAGTGTTTTGATATTTTATATGTTGGAGAACATTTAAAATTCTTTAGATTACAAGACAAAAATCAAATTCAGAAAAACATGCTTTAAAAGGAACATAAAGTCACAACAGGAACGAGAATGCGCATCTAAAACAACAGACCCACAAACGTAACAATGCTTTGCAAAAATTTGCTTCATCAGCATACACCACATCTAATCATCACCATGCAACTCAGGGCATCCCTATCACAGCAGCACTAACCACCTGAAAGACAGCTATGGTAACTGTTGCTGTCACTCATACAAATTACCCTTATCATTTGAAGAGAACTTTCTCCTCATCTCTTCTCTTAATTACTACACAATAAAGTCCTACTTCTGACTTTTCACTAACTCAACTCAAGTGGAAATGAGCTCTCTTGTCTTTTAGAAGCAGAAAGGAAACCTAGAAGACTGAAATTTGTTAAAATAACAGAGACCAACCATAATTTCAGAAAGGAAGTAGCACTAGGATAGAAGGCAAAAAGCTCTTCAAGAAGCACTGAGAAAATAAAAACTGGAGTGCTACCTTCCCTTTCTCCTTTTGGAAGTTTTTGCAGCACACAAATGCAGAGGAAGGAAGGAATAAATCATAGCATACAGGGAATGGAAGGATGACTGCAAATTTAAAGGCACACAGACACTTGACTAAAGCTTATACACTTCTCAAGCAAAAAATTTACTTTCTTTTTTTTAGCTCCTAAGGCCCAAATTCAAATGACAATTGATTCTGATTTCTTCTTGTTCACTTGCTTTTGTGTAGGTACGAAAGTAGAAGAGTAAAAGGCTACGAGAGATGGGACAAGAATATGCACTTGCTGCATGCCAAACGTGTTTCCTCATCTCTTTCTTTCACATTGTTACATCTTGCACACAGTAAAAATAGTAAAACTTTTTCAGATAGAAAGTATTTGCACCTTATTCAGTAAGTAGAACAATCAGAGACCAATACTGAGGACTATGCCCTCGTCCAATGCTTTGGGAGATCAAATCCAAGATAAATATTCAAAAAGTCTCATTTGCCTCTCACCCTCTTTTCTCCTCTGTCACACTATCAAATTTCTAGCAACCAGTGAATATAGAAGCAAACAGATGTTGGTTTGCCTGTCTTTAGCTAGAGCAAGTATAGGACATTTTTCAAGCAGACTACCCTGAGCTATCACATCATTCCTCACCAAAAAGGAGATCTATGTAAAACTTCAGGACAAGGTATGATAAATACTATGTTTGAAGGAAGCTATCCTATGAACACAGATTTGGTTTGTTGAACTCAGCAATTTCATTGAAGTCATTAGTTTTGAAAGGTTGAAATCTGGAATTATAAACTTGGGATCTTGATTTAGCTTTTTTTTTGAGAAAGCACATCTGCTATCCTTGCCATGGGTTTAAAACTGCATGCGAGAGTGAAGCTTCCAAGTTGCCTTTCCAAGCCTCCACATCAGATAATCTCTTTAAGAGCTGCCTCGAGTATGTTTCAGTAACTTACTGCTTTATGACATCAAGAACAATTTCCAAAACCAGACCAATATACATACCTTGAGCACCTTTTTGAGTCACATGAAGATTTTCAATGTATTGTTCACTGAGTAGGAGATACACAGTACTTTTTTTGATACAAAGAATCAACACCAAAAGAATTCTGCCACTATCAAAAGTAGAATCATTAAATTTCACAGTCCTTAGAATCTTAGTATGGAACGTACATAAATCAGAAATTAGAAGAACTAGTAAGAAGGCACTCTTTCTCATCCCCTTAACACAATCTCAACTGTGTAAATGAGGACATATTCAAAGCACAGTCTCAAATTTCAAGTAAACAAAATAAGTAGGTAGTCTACATCTCCAAGCTTCAGAAATCAAACAATTAAAAATAACTATAAAAGCAATTTTCTCCATTTACAAACCAAGTGTTCAAAGATCCTAAGTTAAAACTATCAAGAAAACTCAGAACATTGTATGTAGAGAAATAGAGAAAAATACAGGTTATCATCATCTTTACCTGATTTCAGGAAGTAGTCTGTAGCAAAATAGTATCAACAAATATTAGAGACTGACTTATAGAAAAGAGAAAGGAGAAGTTTTGACTGTATGCCACATGTTCTGGGATGCGAAAAGAGGACACGTAACCTGCCTAATTTCTAAGTTACACTAATACCAGCTTTAAACAAACCATCTCACCTGTTCTGAAGATGAGGACATATTCCGAAGAACAGCAATATGATGTTGGCAAAAAGAAAAGAAAAAAAAAAAAAAGAATGGTACAGAAGATTAAACAAACACCTGATTCCTCTTCTTACATAAGCAAGGAGATACAAAAACCCCAAGGAAACTAAAGGAGAATATCTGTGGTTTATAAATAATACACAGCTTATCCAGAGAATTAATTGACAATAAACTGTTACAGGTTTAAAAGTTCTGCAAGATTTACGAAAAAAACAGGAAATTCTAAGAAAGAAGCATCAAAATAAAAAGGACATTAAAAATCCCAAGATAGAGAGGGGTAAAAGTCACAGAGCTGTCCGACAAACGAAACTGCAAGTATACTGGAAACCTCAGAGTCAGTCACTCCGTAAGCACCTTTCCCAGGACTTGGGAAAGTTTTGCATCTGTTTCTGAAGCATCTGGTGCTAGCGACTATTTGAGACAGGCTACAGAAATACTTGTTTACTCCTGTATGAAAATCCCTGTGTTTCCAAGAAACAAAGAAAATAGCACCAAAATAAATAGCAATAAGAAAAGTGTCCATCTTCCCAGTTTACTTTTCAATTTACTTTAAACCTCTTCACTCCTCAAGCAGCTGTTACTCTTGTACATAACACATCCTGGACTAAATGAAAGCTTATCTGAGAGAACAAAGTAATAACTACAGGCTGAAGAAGAATTACTGTGACACTAGTCTTTTCAGAAAACTTACTCTTCTTAGTATTACAGTGATTTTACCAAGTGTCACTATAATCAAAGATGACTTCTAAAAGTAAGAATAAAGTGTTGCTATTTTACATGCTGTTAAGTTTTGATTCAAAAGCCCTTTAAAAGTATACACAGGCAATAGTACTGCTACTAATTTGTCATTCAATGGCTGTTTTATCCTTGATTTGTCTTCTACTGAATGACAAATCTCACGTTACCAAAGTGAACTATAAGGACAGCTTAATTATCAACCAAAAGACTTACCAAACTTATAATTCTCAGCGTTAAATAACTGCATTGCATGAATACTACTCGCCCTTAAATAAGGGCTTCCACACGACAGATCTGAAGGGACAACACTGAATGCTTAAACACGTGACACGAATCAGAATTTTCTGCCCTTGCAGAAAAATTTCTGAAAAGTGACTCATAAAAACAAGAAAGCATACACACACACAGACGAGCATAATGATTTCAGTAAAACTGAAGAGATCTTTCAGTTTCATGATCAAATTTGTGGTCAAAGTCAAATACAAAAATTGATTCCAAACTCAAACAACAACAAGGGCACTTACCTGGGACATTTGAGAAAGAACTTTGAACCTAGTTTCCTATGTCCCAGGTTAACGCTCCCAACAAAGGGACAATTTGCCGTATCAGGACAAGCAGATGTCTCTTTCATTCAGATATTGAATATGGAAAAATAAATTCGCAGCATCACAAATTCATAGGATGGCAAAACTATTACCTGATCAGTTCTGACAGACCTCAGATCCCTGGGCTGTCAGAGCAAAGAAATTCAGGTTTCACCATGCAACTGTGGTAAAAAGCCATGCAATACCGATTATCGGGAACCCTCAGAGTAACAAAATTCTTCCTCTCATCATATTTCTTCAGAAGCTCCAAAACATTGGGTCATCGATTTGAAAGGACCCCAAAATGCACCAGCCACTGTTAGTATTGCCAGAAATTCCATGCAACAAAGCCCTGAGTTATACAGTCTAATCCTATGTCCTGTGTTTTCACAACCAGACACTTCTGTTCACAAACAGCACTACTTTTCTAATACTCCAAAATATCTAATGCACTTACCTGCTGTGTATGTTTGGAAGAACTGAACATCACACGTACAATCAGTCTAAATCTACACATTAATCTGTCGCAGACTGAGAAGACCCTAGATCCACCTTGAAGCAGGGTCTCCAAATTTCTTCAGGGAGACATGACCCACGGAGTATAATGGGCAAAAATATCTTTAAACCATATTCTCCAGTCTTTCAGCTGTCAGGCTATGCACAGCATAGCAAAAAAGTGTCAGTTCTGATTTTCATACACCAGGCTCACATCATAAACTAGAACCAAGGATGCCCCGTTCCCTCCTGCTTTTTTTTTCCTGAAAATACCTGCCCATTAGCTGCACTAAAATGTTATTAGTGCAAATATACCAACAAGCCCTATACGTGAAGGTGCAGATCAAAAGTTCTTCAAAGTGGTACAACGTTAAGAGTTTCCTGAACAAAGTTAAGAGGTTTTTTTAGATGGGATAATTATATCTACATGTAGTTACGCTTGCAGATGCTTTCTTTATGAGAGAGTTGTATTTTCCCCTGCATGCATACAAGGAGTTACACTACCAAATCTCATGGGGAACTCAGGCTTTTAACTAAGAAAAGCATTTGTCTAAATACCTCCCTCAAGCAAGGTAAGTGTCAGCAGGAGCTCTGACCACCTACCCTTAAAGACTATTTGGATCCAAAGTATTCATAATAAACACAAACACCTTCTGCATAAGCCCTTTCAAACCAGTATAAAATTGTACTCAAGTAAGCTGCTGACATGATTTAAGAGTGTTCTTTTTATTTTAAGTCTTTTCTATACTAATGCGTATCTGAAAGGTAAATTCAAGCTATCTTGATGTTTCAAAATAGAAGATTATTTACAATAGTTTAATCAATTTACCTGGCTTTGGAGCCACCTGAGACCTGAGCATCTGGTGCGTTCTAAACATTCGCCAACACGGCATCTTTGCAGAATGCACCTTAGGTAGTAACACATTGCCAAAAACAGGAGTTGAGCAGCCGCTAACAGCAATACGCAGAAGGCTCGCCATTTCGCCCAGGCCTCACAGCAGACTCCTTGCCACGTATGGAATCCCTGCGGCACATAAAAACAAAGCAAGAATTATTAATGATACTAGACAGAAGGTATGTAAACTCAGCTGCTTAAGTCCAGTCCACTGCCCGTAGCCATGAGATGATCATTTCTCCCCACCTTTTCTTTCTACCTAGAAAACAACATCAACTTTTTTTTCAAATTGAGTAAGACAACTAAAATAATAAGCCCACGGGAGGACTGACATTACAAGCTGACCTAGCGATCATATTTCTGTGACTCAAGACCATATCCTCTTTACATCGTTGCTCCAAACAAGCAACTCTGACACATGAAAACCTCCTGCGCCCCAAGGAACCAGACAAACAATGCAAAACCCAGCCAGAGCTCCCACGGAAGTTACCCTGAGTGGGACACCAGCGTACAGGGGCTCACGGGACATCCCAAAGCAGGCACTCGGAGTGGGACAAGCGGGGCAGCGGGGAGCAGGCAGGGGAGCCGGGCC